TCTCGTGGTAAACAAACTAACTATTCAAATAGAAAAATTAACAAGTGGTGTAGTGAACGGGATGTTGGGGATGTTAGATCCCCAGAACTCACTTGAGAAAGGACCTAATTTTGTAATTTTATCTAGAAAATTTGAATTTCTTTGTTTTCGCGCCAAAGGTGCTCTTGTCACCTTCATGTGTTTGTTGTTATCGCTTGTTTCTGGCTGTTTTGCAGAATATACTTCCCATTCCAAGCTTGGACTTCTCCCTCTAGTTAGCGGGGCTGAGACGTATCAACAGCTAGCTTACTGGTGTTTGGTCACCAAGTCTTGTTCTCGTTCTCAGATTAAGTGAACTCGTGATAGCTTCAAACCTAGCACGGGAACACAGGAGAGAACAACCAAATATACCATAATCCAACATCACAGAATGTCTTGGTAAAAACTAAGAACCATATAGTGAATACTTCATTTGCGAAATATCCATCAATTGTCTTAGACTTTGTTATTCCTTCGTTTCAGTACCAATCACTCTCAGTTCTCATTGACTTCTCTTCGATGATCTCAGTTTTTTTCGTTAAACATTCTAATTTCGTTTGGTGACATATACTACTTATATTTGTCAACATCGGTAGCACACATCACAGTAGTATTGCGGAAAGAGAAAATTTAAGCAGTGAAAGTAAATTGAAATATGAACATATAGATTAGTATAAAAATAAAGAAACGAACTGAATTGAACAGAAATCATTTCGATAACAATGTTGATTATTTTTTCCATCTACCTAGAAATCAGTAATACCAAGAGATTATGCTTAGCGTATGATTATGAGAAAAGGATAATAAAAATATAGTATCCTATAGAAACTTTATTCAACCAACAATTTCCACAGATTTTCTATTGAAGTCCCAAAGTGTTCCACAGATACAAAAGTTATTTCTTTGAAAAAAAATCTACATATGCCAGTTCATTTCAGATTATATGATGAAAGCTGGTAATAATTAATGTACTCTAAGATAATGAATGAGAGACCATTAATTTCCCGATTCTATCAAATAAGTAGATTGATTAATTTTTAAAATTACGGAAAAGATAATACAAAATATTTTATTAAAGTCATTATTGTACATTCAAATGAATGTAAAATATTGTGTTCAAGATGATGGTGTGGATGCCCGTTATTTAATCGTTATTTAGATCGGATGATGTTGTCGAAAGGGCTCTCCACTTTAGTAGCCTGAGATCTGACTCCAAGGAGATTGTAATGATGATTGTTGTTGAAATATATATGTCGCTTATCCTCGTATATAAACATCGACTTAAATCGCGTTAGTCAATAACTGAATTAAATAAGTCAAATAATGAGGATGGACTTTTGAATACACAGATTTTATATATGAAGCGAATGGAATAGAGAGAAGAGCAACGAAGCAGAGTGGAGATGGCTGGTAAGCCATGGTCAGAATGTGACTCTAGTAGACTGAATAGAATGAGCTTCCCGAAATCTAGAATAAGGTCAGTCAGTCAGCTACAACGTAGGACCAGGCACATAAATGCATCGGTCCAAGTTGCTTTACCTCATTAACACAACAAGATAGACACTGGATTCATATAAGTGGTTAATTCAGAGGTGGTAATATATAAAAGAAAGATTGCAATAAGGATATAATACAGGAAGAAAGAATTAGTTTGTAGAAAGAAAGATATGAAGCAATTTTAATCTCTTAGTTTAAGAGAAGACAGAGAGTGTATACACCGACGTCATTGTGACCGATTCTGAGCCATGTCACCAAGAATCTCCAACCATTAATTACGATAGTCACGTGGACCCCTAATAAGGTATATGGGCTTAACATATTAACCGGCACTACAATGATAATTGTTTAAACTTTACATTCCATACTATTAGTGCTCATTTAATTCTATTCAGTAATAGTTGAATAACAAACCAACTTCCAGCTGAAGAAGAAATTAGGAAAAGACGATGGAAATGGATAGGACATACATTACGCAAATCGTCAAACTGCATCACGAGGCAAGCCCTAACTTGGAATCCTGAGGGGAAGCGAAAAAGAGGAAGGCCAAAGAACACATTGCGTCGGATAATAGAAGCAGATATGAAAACGATGAATTACAACTGGACGGAGCTAGAAAGGATTGCCCAGGACAGGGTTGGATGGAGAACGCTGGTGAGCGGCCTATGCTCCTTCACGAGGAGTAACAGGCGTAAGTAAGTAAGTAATAGTTGAATAAATTACTTTTAGATAAATTTAATCAATACAAACGTCTTTTGGAATTGGTAATGTTAAATTCATTGAGGGACAATTTTTATTATAACAGATATTCATTCATTTTTAACTTTCATGTAACTGGTTATATATTTTATTGTGGAGGAAGACACAAGTGGAGAAGACTAATTTATTGTTTAGTGCATAATTACAGAGTACCCTCAAAAACAAAATATGAAAACTATATATCAAATACATCATTTGCATAACTTCTTCTTCCTTCATTTCTGTTATTATCTAAATCTTCCTCAGTTTCCTTCTTTCTTCTTTTTTCATTTTAATCTTCTTAACTTTGTGCTCATAGGTATTTCATTTCTGATTGGCGATACATACTACTTATATCTGTAAAGATAAATAATATACACCATAATATATTTCATAATAAACTATATTTTCATTAATCATTTAATCAATATGATACATTTGAACTAAAATAAAGTAACAATGATCAAGTGTCTAATTTGTACGATTCATCGAAATGTGTGTATTACAATTCTTTTCTACTGTAATTATTTGTGGTTTTGGCGTTTTCTGTCTCATGTTCTTATTAATGAATATCGAAGAATAACCGTTTTTGATAAGTATCTCTATTAAGAGGCCCAATTCTTCACCACTCTATAGCAAAGTATCTGGCAAATCTCCTAGAACTCGTTAGAAAACGCATTTGTAAACATCCCGTACGTGATACTTTTGAATTTATTGAGCACATAAAAGAAGTGAATGTAAGTGACAAAATTATGCTATCTCTGAATGTCGAATCATTATTGTTATGACCTTAAGTTGGTCGATTTTCACCCTGTGCTAATTGTTGTGTCCTTGACTGGAAAATTAGAGAGCGACGTACTTATCGATCGATTACAGTGACACGTAAACACGAACGGACGGCCTAGAGTCTCGACTGGTCTCGCTTCCCTGTCTAGCCCAGTCAGTTGAGTCCAGAACACAAGCCACAGCCTCGGAGATATGAATCATTATATTTCAGACATACTCTATTTATATACCAATCAAACATACCACATCGTACCATAAAATAGAAAACAACATTTTGTACAGTACTCAACAAGCGAACAGATATCGACCAATAGGAAATGTCCATTTAAAGTCCAAGGACACCATTGGACTTAACATGATAATTATTGGTCTATTCCTCCGCATCCACAACAATTATTCACTAATGTTCCCCTCACAGAGACCATTAATTTTATCTGCAAGTACATCGATAATAATGAGATAAACATCTAAATACCGGATGTTTATTTGAAGGAACTATTACTAAGTTGCACTTGCAATGTACAGTTCACATTCAACAACGTAATTTATAGACACAGAAAGATGGTGTAACAATGGGATCCCCACTTGTTCCATTACTGGCAGATTGCTTTATTGCCAGTTTAGAAAACAACCAACTCAAAACAATCATAGAAAACCTCCATTTGTATAAAAGGTACGTAGATGGTATTTTTATCATATGTGACAACAAATATGACTTCAGTCATCTCCTAAAGACATTTAATAATTGTCACCGATCAATAAAATTCACACTTGAAGTTGAAAACAAACAAAATATTCACTTTCTTGATATGGAAATGACAAGAAATCAAGACGTTACTTTAAAAAGATCTATCTACAGGAAACCCATGTGGAATGGCTAACTATCAAGTTTCTACAGTTGGGTTCACATCAGCCAAAAAAGAAACTTGGAAATAACGCTCGCCACAAAAATATGAAGAATCTGTAGCCCCGAAGTTGTAGATAAAGAATTAGGCCTTTTAAACGAGATACTTGTCAAAAACGAGTATCCTCCGATATGCATTGATAAGAACATAAGGCCGAAAACGCCAAAAACCCATATAATATAATATACTCTATTGAAATTTGAAATTAATTCACTACAAATAATACTCACTTTTGCAGTTTCACACTTATCGACTACAAGAGAAATTTGGTTAGATGTCTCACTAGCAGAGCTAAAAATATCTGCACAGTAGACACTCTAAGTCAGGAGCTATAATTCATCAACAACTCACTGACCGAGATCGGCTACCCCAGTGCTTTCATTAAGAAGTACATGTATGACATAATAAAGAAGTCGGAGATTTCGACTGTTCATAAGAAACCTTTATACATGAAACTACAATTCAACGGGGATGTGGCTAATGATACTCTGAAATACAGGTTAACGAAAGTAATCACCAGGACATTCTACACAGTCAATCTTGCGTTGACTTTCTCTTGTCGACCAACAATATGTACGCGAACGAAGGATAAGTTACTTGAGTTGGCCTCCTCAATGTGCATTTACAAATTCAGCTGCTTCTGTGGAAACAGCTATATCGAGCGTACTCCTAGGCAACTTAACCAACGAATGAGTGAACATCTACCAGCTTGATTTATAAATAGCCAGATAAAAACAATTCGCAGTTCTATCTTGGCACATCTTATTGATAACAGTCATGCTGTAGATAAATCTAAATCATTTCGATTGATCTATCGTATACCTCCATCATTTCTTAACGAAGTTCATTCCCGCCTCCTACATATAACTGAAGCCATAAGAATTCGTACATATAACCTCAATTTATGTGTACAGAAGAAATAATATTTACTATAATATTCTTTCAACCAATCAGATTATTTGAAATGATAAATATGAAATTGACCAATCACAACTGAATAATTTAGAGTATGATTTAATGAAATAATAAATAAATATTAATGAAATAAATCATTAGAAAGTATTACGTAATTTAATGTTTTATTATATTTTTTTCCCCTTAGTTATAGATGATTATCATATTTTGTTTTAATGTCTTAGAAATAAGAATTCTATGTTCATATTTTATCAAGAAAGGAAAAAAAACTGTATCCATTCCGTAAAAAAAGGGGGAAATGAGATTTTAATTACGCTTCATTTCATGAGAAAGTAAAGATTTTACAAAATTTTATTATAAACCAATAGATATGAAATGGAACAATCCAATGTAAATTTAAAACGTAATTCTGAACTATCTAAAGATGATAATCAAATTGAATTTATACAAGATAATCCATGTTGTGCTTCTTCTTCATCTTCTCCTCATCCTTTTCCTCCTCCTCAAAATATAATATTATCAAAACAAGAACCAAATGACTTTAATGATAATTCAATTAAAGGTTTACAAATATCTAAAACAAAATTAAATACAATTTCAAATGAAGATGTTCGAAGACAATCAAGTGTACATTCTGAACAAACATTAAATATTGCACATCATTTATATCCTACAACATCTTTATCGCATACATCATCAGCTTTTTCAAGTTATTTAAGAATTCCATCTATTTATGAACAAATGAATGAAAAAGTTGTATCCACACATTCAGCTGATTGGTCAAAATCATTACATAGATCAAGTTGTTTTAATACACCACAAAGTTTAAGTGAAGAAGATCAAAAATTTACACAAGCAACAGTTCGTGCTGTATTAGCTGCTAGTGCTAGAGAATCTCGTACAGCATTAACTGATTTACCATTAGATTTTTTTATAAATAATTCAGATTTATCTAATATTGATAATAAATTAAATTCATTATCAGTTCAACAATTATCACATAGAAATTTATCTACTGAAAATGCATTAAATATTCATAGATTAAATTTACCATCATCAAAATTTCATGATGAATGTAAAGAACGTAGAACTAATCGAAAATTTAGTGCACTTTATGTTCATAGTTTTGATGATACAATACATGATAGTGTATTATTATTGAAAAGAGATAAATCACCAATTCCTAATACATCATTAAATTCTAATAATATAATACTTAATAGTACTACTAATCTATCTAATTCTATACAATTACCTTATATACAAACATCAAATAAAAATATTCTGATTACTACTAAACAAAATCCAAAATCATTAAAAAATTTCGCTAGACAAACATCGCATTCAATAAATAGACCATTAAAACGTTTAGCTGCTAGTTTTCGTTTAACTAAAAATATTCGACATTCATCATCAGTAAATTATAAACAACATTCTTGTATAAATGTCCCTTTAAAATCTGATATTGTTTCCAGTTGGAATTCTGTTTCAAATTGTATTGATTCTATACAAAATACTACAAATACTACTACTACTACTAATAATAATAATGATATCAGTAGTAGTTGTAATAATAATGGGACCAATATACGTACACGTAATGTAATTCTTCAAACAGATCAAGATTTTATTAATGAATTTAAACATGATAAAAGTTTACATAAAGGACATTTATCATTAAATGATTCAATGGATCATGAAACGGATAGTTTATTAAGTCAAGATGATAAACCAAGTGGTAGTTCATTTCATTTAAAAGAACAATTTTTTGCATTTTTTCAACCAACTGGTAATAAATTAGCAATGAAATTATTTGGTACTAAATTAGCATTAGATAGAGAAAGATTAAGACAAGAACAACAAGGTGATTGGATTATACATCCTTGTAGTAATTTTCGGTAAGTTTTTAGTTTTTTTTTTTTTTTTTCAAGTTTTCTTCTTACAGTTTACTTATGGAAACCTAACAAGTCTGTTTTTCTTAGATTGATTGGTAAAGGAGAAGTGTTAAATTGAATAAATAATTTCATACATCACTTTTTCATATTAATATAGCAACAATATGAAGGTATAGCAACTATCCTACAATCAATTTTCATTATGGTTAATTAAGGTTAAGCCCTTATATTAACTTACTTAACAGACAATATTATTTGAACAGTAACCATTCGTATATTTATTTGGATTGTTATGATCATCAGAGCACATGACAGACTCTAGCCGAAATGTTCATTGCTTAAATATCATTCAATGATTCACCCTACACCCCTTGTATGTATGTATGTATGTATGTATGTATGTATGTATGTATGTACTCAAATTCTATGATTAGTCCTTGTTTTGCCTTACTGTGTGCCCTTATTCAATTTAACTATAAATTTACCTATGTCATTGCTTGTATATACTTATTCGCTTCTCCATTTCAAATTCGTTCAATGTGTTTATAGTTTTATGATCTGCACTATCCGGTAATAAACTGTAATTGATTCGTCTGATTTCAAAAACACTGTTGAATTCTAGATTTTAACGGTTATTGAGTTGATCAATTCACGAAGTCAAACCACTACAAAGGTTCTCATGTGTTATAATCTCACTGTAATTGTTCAGTAAATTTATAAATAAATCTTTTACAAAGCAGGAGATGAAATTTTCAAAAAAAAATTTCAGAAACGATCATTTAAGCATGAATAAATGCGTATTAAGATTAATAAGGTCATGTACAGATATTTTAATTATATTCCGAATAGAAAACCTTAAACAATCAGTTAACTACTGAAATCTAATAGGTTACATTACTTCCACTAAGTAGTAATTTTTATTCACACATACTCTTTATTCATTCAGTGTAAACTGTATTCAAAATGATAAGATCATTTTAAGAATACAAAGGATGCTCACATCAGAACATTTGGAAATCATGACAACAGCCATCGAGTTATCATACAAACGACATAGAGAACAAAGACACGACCAAACCATCCAGCTCAGAGAACAAAACTCCACCAAAATCATCCACCTGAGCTACAAATCTTCTCCACCATCTCAAACAGCTTGTCTACATACTGAACTTTCTCATTATTTTTGTTGTTGTTGTTGTTGTATGGTTATCTAAGAAAGAAAAAAGTCAGTGAACAATAGGCATTCATTATATTTTAATAGACCTTCAAGTTTAATGATTCCGAGTTTCCTCTTTTTTTTAGTTTTTCTTTTCATTATTACTCTAAATTACATGGATTCATGAATAAATTTACAAACTATTCAATTCATGAAATACATAAAGATTTTCTTGTTAAATTCTGATAGTCTTCTTCCTCTTTTTTTCTTCTTCTTTTCTAGAAACCATTAAATTTACAGGTTGTTTTATTCTTTCTCTATAGGATTATTGAAATTATCAAACTATAATTAGAATTAAAAAGGAAACATTAGTACATAGTGATTTAAACAGATTGAAATGCCTTCAGTTTCAATTCACTTGTTATTGTTGTTGTTGTTGTTGTTTAGGACTGAAGTTGATTAGTCTTTTGTTGGCATGTATATATATATATATATATATATATATATATATATCTTGTGGGGATTGCCTCGATATTGATTTCAGTCACAAGCTTCATAAACAAATATGGATAATGGCTAGTAGTGGAATTTGGGACGCACGTTTTGTCTTATTTGAAGAGAATAGTACTGGGTTCAAATCTCAGAGAGGATATTAACTTTGAGATTCAGATGCATCCAGTTGATGAGTTGAAAATAGGATGAAATACCCGTACTGGATTCCATTGCTATCTACCATCTGTCTTTGTTTATAATGCTTACAGTTGATTTAAACACTGGTATAACAGTTGTTTTTCCTGAATAAATTTAATGGTTTTCAACATTGTGTAGGATGTTTTAACGATGAGAAATAGTTTTGTGTTTTCAAGATTTAGAAAAATAGTTTTATCTCAACAAAACAAACATAACTAACAATAGAGAATTTTGTCAAAACGAAAAATGAGACATTTTCATTGCTTTGCAAAGCTGTCAATTTATTTCATTATTTATGTATTAATCCAATTGATTTGTTAGTTGCCTTTTCTTTTCAACCTTGTAAATGTCTTACAGAATTTAAGCATGAAAATTAAGGATTAAAACTAATTTTTTGTTTGCAAGACTTAAGTATTCAAATTTAGACCTTGTTTAAGAATCTTCAAGATTAAGACATTGAAATGTCTAAAAAGATAGATACTAGAGTTTAGATCATTTTAGATCAAGTGATATAAAGATATATTCTCAGAAGGGGTTTGTGGAGATTTTAGAAATTTCACAGAGTCAATTGAAGCTAAACCTGGAAGCACTGGACGGCCGTCTCATCCTGCTACGGGACTCCTCAGCGGTGCGCATCCACGATCCCGCACTCTGCGAGATTCGAACCCAAAACCTATCAGTCTCGCTTCAGGCGCTTAAACAACTAGACCATTGAGCCGTCATCCAATGGTGTTAATGTCTAACTTCAACCGAAACGGTCGTCCAGTGCTTCCAGATTTTCCATGGTGGTCTAGCTTCAATTGACTCATGATTTCAATCTGTGAAAAATATATTCATTTAAACTCGAATAAACATTCTATCTTCAAGTTACACCATACAAGTTATATGGATTGTTTACTTCTTAAAACTATTTGTTTTTATTAAATCATTGAACAAGATAAACCCTTTCAATGAGAATCGGTTAAATGAATGTAGCAGTGAATATATACAGTAAATTCCACATTGAACAATTGTTCCAAACTTCTGTTATGTAGGTTAATTTTTATTGATGTTTTCATGATATCAAAATATTATTTCACACTGAATAGTTTTCATCACCATTAACACTAATTGAATTCTATTATTATTATTATTATCATCATCATTCTTTTTATGTAATAGATTGTGTATCAGTAGACTGTCTTTGAGAATGAAGTGAATGGATGTTCTGTAAAAGAAAGAATAGTTACTAATATGGTTATTCGATTAGATTTTTTAATTGGTAAAAGTAATTTCTGTAAATGAATCTATAAAACTCTCAGTTATTCTATTGCTGATATTTTAACTGAATTGTCATATATGGATTCTGTAGCGATCACTTTAATACAGTAATTTTGCCACAAGCTTTTTAGAAGTGTCCTAAATAAAGTGATGAAAAGATGGAATTGATCGGATCAACTCCATAAATGGACTAATTGCTTTAAAGTCTCAGATAAGATGAAACGAGTATCCTGAATTCCACTGCTAAACAAAGACTATCTCTTCAATAAAACTTGTAGTTTATATAGTTTTTTTTTATCTAAATGATACAGGTTAAAATCTAGTCTTTAGTTAATTATACACGCAAATTTGTATGTTATAGTTGTACATTCATTTATACATCACAATGCATGTTCTACCAACAAGTGTAAGATATAGACCTCTGATCAACTGCCCATTAGGATGGGAAATAGCTGAGCAAAATGGGAGAAAAATGGTACACCTAATGATAACGGATGTACACTACAAGATCTACAAATACCAACACGTCATAGAGGATCAAAAGATGAAGCCGCAAAGAACACTCACGTCAGAACATTTGGAAATCTTGACAACAGCCATCGAAATGCCATGCAAACGACACAGAGAACAAAGAAGAAACACCTTAAGGAAAAAAAATTGATCAAGATCTCAAAACCACCCATGGAAGAAAACACAAACAACTGTGTGATCAATATGTCAAAACAAACACTAATAGACTTGTAGTGTTACAAACATTATCATCAATTAATTTCGATAAGAAATTATTGTAGTTGAGAAAAAATAATTATCAATATAACGTTGTGGAGATTGTTGAGCTTTTATTAAAATCTTGAACCAATCAGTGTTAGTCCAACATTGGAAATGTGATAGAAGTGGATAGCTGTTTTGTCCTAGTATGGGATTCCTATACAATGCTCATTCACAATTCAACCGTATTGTGTAGGGCAGTTACATATTGAAGACAGTGAAAGACAGTCATGTAAGACCATGGATTGATCGAACCTATACATTAACATTGTTGGATCTCGTCTCAATGGTCTGGCGGTTAAGTGTTTACGTGTGAGACCAAAGGTTCTGGAATCGTATTTCACATGCAAAATCGTGAAGTGCACACTGCATAAGAATCCCATACTTGAATAAAATGTCTGTTTCGTGCTCCTAAGTTTTTAATCGTTATCTATCAACGACCGGTTCATGATTTAGTGAAACATTTATTGATAAATACATTGATTAAATTAAAGATATTCATGATCACAAATTAGTTCAATAAGGTCGTTTTATCCGTTTATACATATTATCATATTTACTGTTCAATGAACTGTGATTTCTGTTTCATTCTTAGGAATGTTTATAAATTTTCTTCACTTTTATTTACTTGAATGTGTTTTTCTGACTTGTTTAGATATGGAGGGAAGGTATTGTTACACTTTTTTTCCCCATTTTCAAGGTTAAAATGATATTGATCATTATTATAAAAGCAAAGTAATATATTATTTGAATGAACGTGAAAATGTAAAGGATTAAACGACAATTCTGTGATTTAAAGATTAAATGCTTACAGTGGATCAAAATCTTAAATTCATAATTGTCCAAACGAATTCATTGCGTGATATAGACTTTTGAATGAATAGAGAAAATGTATAGTTCCAGTGAATGAATTTATTAAAATTATGTTCTTTAGTTACTTACTTACTGACGCCTGTTACTCCTCGTGAAGGAGCGTAGGCCGCTCACCAGCGTTTGCCATCCAACCCTGTCCTGGGAAATCCTTTCCAGCTCCTTCCAGTTCCAATTGATCCTTTGCATATGTGCTTCTATTTCCCGACGTAATGTGTTCTTTGGCCTTCCTCTTTTACGCTTCCCTTCAGGATTCCAA